TATATAGTGAGTTCCGGGGCACCAGCTTGGGTTCCCTGGCAACAAACCCAAAAATAAGCAAGAATAATTGTGAAAAGTTTTTCTCGAGGGTACAATACAGGGGCAGTGAGAGCTGGCAAGGAAAGGGTGAAATAGGTCTTGTTAGTGCTGGCTAAGCTGGAGAGGTGGCAAGTGGCTGTGGCGATCATCCATGAGGAAAAGTGAGGCAAGGAAGGCGGCTTCTAGATACACGGATGTGTGGTGTTCATCTGTGTGGTTTGTGCACATGCATACATGTCCTGATAGTGGCGTTCAGTGACCTTTGTCACAAAACTTAAGCCACAAAGCTCCTTGTTTCCCAGCCTAGACAGAGCAATCCCTGACCTTGGAACTCAGATCTAGACTCGGAATGGTACTTTGCTCTGTTTTTGCCGTCATACTTTACACCACGTCCATGAGCAAATCCTCAAAAAAAAAAAAAAAATCCCAAACTGACGCTCTCACTCCCTCATTATTGGCTTGTGGCTTGCCTGGACGGACACAGTACTCTGCAAACACTAACAGGGGTCACAGTGATCTCTGGAGTTGTATTCCAGATCACACCATGTCTCTTCATGCTCCGGATAGATGGTAGCTTCCCTGTCAGGGTCCCCTGTGGTCTCACCTTGGGCGCCCCCCTTCATTTTTGGAACTCTAGACTCCCCAGTCATCTTATGTTCCCTCGTCCATGTTTGCTAGGATCCTATGGCCTTTGTGTTGCTTTCCGTGTCTAGAGTGGTCTTTCCCGAGATATATGTGTGTGCATGTGATTTGCACTTATTAGTTCAGCTTTGTTATTGTTTTATTTAGAGATGGGGTCTTACGTAGCCCAGGCTGGTCTCAGTATAGCCAAGGCTGGCCTTGAATTCCTGATCCTTCTGTCTCTACCTCCTAAGGGCTGGGATTACAGATGTGCGCCGTCGTGGCTAAGTGCTACCTCCTCAGAGAAACCTCCCTTGACCACCCACTCTAAGGAGACTTCCTAGTGTTTCTGTCCCCTTATCACACCTTTAAAAATTTATCTCATGCAGGGCTGGAGGTGGTGGCGCACACCTTTAATCCCAGCACTTGGGAGGCAGAGACAGGTGGATCTCTGTGAGTTTGAGGTCAGCCTGGTATACAGAGTGATTTCCAGGACAGCCAGGACTACACAGAGATGCCCTGTCTTAAAAAACCAAAACAACAACAACAACAACAAAAATCTCATTTATTACCAGCTGTAATTGCAGTATTTAGATTTTTATATTATGGACCATTTCAAACAAGTATAAGAATAGAGAAGCTTGTCTGACAGGTTGCATGAGCCTGTTCCTCAGCTGACAATCATCACCAGCAGGCAGGTCTTACTCTCCCCTCCAGACATCTTATCTGCAAACACTTCTATGCAAAGGTTGATATTTATCGCTCATTCTCCATTTTTTCCAATGTAATATTTTTCTATTTGGGGATTTCACATAAGGCACTCAATCCTCAGTCCTTCCAGCTCTGCCTCCCCACCCTTGTGAACTCCCCCCCCCCCAAGAAAGAAAGGCAGAGGAGGAAGAGGAGGAGGAAGAAAAAACATATCCAATTTGTGTTACCCATATACTCACTGGAACATGGTCAAACCCCCAGTGGCCAGCCCCTTAAAGGAACTGAGTCCTTTCCTACCCCACCCCCACCAGAAGCCAAAATCTATGGAGATTTCAGCTTCTGCATCCTTTTCATGCTTTTGTTGCTGTTGTTGTTGTTGTTGTTTTGAGACAGGATTTCTCTGCGGCTTTGGAGCCTGTCCTGGAACTAACTCTGTGGACCAGGCTGGGCTTGAACTCACAGAGATCCGCCTGCCTCTGCCTCCCGAGTGCTGGGATTAAAGGCATGCACCATCACTACCCAGCTTCCAAATGGTTTTTGCTGACCATGAACATCCGTCTGGTCTTCAGTTGTCAGCATGCACCACAGACCTCAGCATGGTCTCTGGTGTCAGTAAAGATGATGAACATCTAGATGGCTCTTGGTTGCAGCATAAGAAGTCATCAACATGACTTCCAGGTCAACATGAGCCACGAACATCAATATGGTCTCCAGCAGTAGCCCAGCCATGGACATCAACATGGCCTTAGGCAGCAGCACAGACCACGGACACCCACACGGCCTTTAGTGGGAATATGACCCACAGATATCATTTATTTTTTATTTATCCTTTTTTCTCTTTTCTTTATTTCCTTCCTTTATTTTATTTTATTTTATTTTTCTGAAACAGGGTCTCTCAATGTAGCCTAGGCTGGAACTGGCTATGGCTATGTAGATCAGGCTGGGCTCGAACTCAGAGATCTGCCTGCCTCTGCCTCCCGAGTTCCGGGATTAAGGACATGAGCCACTACACCAGGCTTTATTTTTTTGAGTCAAGATCTTTCTTTGTAGCCCAGGCTGGTCTGGAATTCACTACGTAGCCCAGGCTAGTCTGGAATTCACTGTGTAGCCCAGGCTGGTCTCAAACTCATGACAAACCTGCTTTAGTCTCCCAAGTTCTAGGATTATAAACTCAACTTTGTTTTACTAAACTTTGACTTATTTTTGACCAGAAACGGAAGGCTAGCTATATACTGAGCACACTGTAAGAAACTGATATTGTAGTACCTGCCGCTGTTTTTGTGTAGCACAGGCTGGCTTTGGGCTCCCATTTCCCTTGCTTCAGCTTTCTAAATATTAAAGGTGTGAATCATGAGGCCCAACTGGTAAGGTTATTGTCTCTGTTTATATTTTATTTTGTTGATACAAGGTCATATGTAGCCCAGACAAGCCTCACACTAACTATGCAGTCAATGATAACTTTAAATTCTTTGCCTCTACCTCCCAAAGTGCTAGAATTCCTGGCGAAAGCTGTTTGCCTAGATGCGAAGCGGTGTTCCCGGCAGCTGGGTTTGTCCGGCTTATTCCCCGCTACACCTCATATTTAACATAGGGCCTTGCTCAGAGCAAGTGACTCTGGACATTTGCAGGGCTGTCAGCTGTTCTCCTGTGGTTTTGTGTCTCTTGCAGTGCCAGTGAGACTCAGCGCATGCGTGTGCACGGAAGCATGTGGCAGTCCTCTGGGTACGTGTTCATGAGCTTGTGCGTGTGTTCATGAGCTTGTGTGTGCTGCCGTCATCACAGCTGGTGGCGGAGAGCATGCCTTCTTCCTGACATCATCTCCCACACCTCCAAGGCCCCATGACTCACATGGGTGTATTTCCCTCTTAGTCAGGCACGAGGAGGGAGGGAGGTGTGCCCTGGCTTTCCCCAGTCCACTGGAGGCTCTCAGAGAGCTCCTTCCTGTCCTGTCTTGTCCTGTCCTGTCCTCATTCTTTGGCTAACTGCCAGCCCCACCCTGCAGAACTACAGGTTCCCCCTCCTCTCCAGCCTTGAAGCCCAGTCTCTCCGGGCCAGCATCAGCCGAGTGGGATTTAGGGTATATTTGTAGGAAGGGTGGCTGTGTCCCATCCTGCTGGTTCTTAGCGTGGCTGCTGAATAGCTGAGCAAAAACCTCGAAGGTGGGGCGACTGAGAGCAGAGATCTGCCCTGGGCACTCAGCCACACCCCAGCTACACCAGTTTCTTCATTTTTTTTTTCTGGGACAGAGTTTTTCTGGGTAGTTCTGACTGTCCTGGAACTAGCTCTGTAGACCAGGCTGGCTTCAAACTCAAAGATCTCCTGCCTCTGCCTCTTGAGTGTTGGGATTAAAGGTGTGTGCCACCACCACTCAGCTTCAGTTTGTATCTTAAAGATTTTTCTTTTTTGTCTGAGAGTTTGGCAATACCCAAGATCCAGTCCATCACCAGTGTCTTCCAGGGACTACACCCTGTCAGTCCAAGGACTACTCACAGATTTTCAGTTTGGTATCCAAAGTTCCTATTAAGACTCAGCCTTGTTGGGCTGCGGTGGTGAATGCCTTTAGTCCCAGCACTCGGGAGGCAGAGGCAGGTGAATCTCTGTGAGTTGGAGGCCAGTCTGGTCTGCAAAGTGAGTTCCAAGACAGCTAGGGCTGTTACTCAAAGAAACCCTGTCTCAAAACAAAACAAAACAAAACAAAAACAAACAAAAAACCCCACAGCCTTAGGTCACACAGCAACTCATTGGCAGAGCTGGGCAGAGCTTAAATGCTTGAAGCCTTTCTACCTGCCAAGAGTGTGCCTTCAGCACAGGATTCCCAGCACAGGGAGGAACAGCAGCATGACATACATGATGGGCCAGAGGGTCTGACCTGTGGCTCAGAGCACAGACCTCCAGGATCCAGGATAACTCAGGAGCTGGTGAGAGCTGGGGGTAGCTGGTGGGAGCTAGAGGGAGCTGGGGGGGGGGGGGGGGGGGGGGGGGGGGGGGGGGGGGGGGGGGGGGGGGGGGGGGGGGGGGGGGGGGGGGGGGGGCTGGTGGGAGCCCTCTCACGTGGATACTAGTAGAGACAGGAAATAGGACTGAAGTGAAAGCCAGTGTAGGACTCTAGGCAGAAAGCTGGCAATGAATTCCCCTAGACCTGGCTCCATACTCTCCGGGCCCAGTTATCATGTCTGAGTTAGAATAGGCCAGTGGCCTTGTACAAATTCTTCAGGTAGAAGGCATTGTCTCCGCCTTTCCTCTTTTCATTTATGGATTCAGTCTCCTGACACCGAGGTAATCGTTGAAAAAATACTGTGACTTTTATTCCTGTGTGTATGGCCGGGACAACTTGCAAGAGCAGTTCTCTCTGCTACTCGGGTCCCAGAGATCCACCTGAGGGGGTGTTTGTGTGTGTGTGTGGGGGGGTGGCTGTGTGGTGTGTGTGTGCTTGCGGATGTGTGTGTGTGTGTGTGACAACCTCAGGTTGTCTGACTAGATGGCGAGCATCTTTACCAGTAGAGCCGTCTTGCTCTCTGGGCAATCTTGAACAGAAGAGGAGAAGCCCTCTGAGGGTGTAGGAACTTCTTGGGGTGTCTAGGCCTAGCCATGCTCACAGGTAGAGTCAAGAGCAGTCCTTCCAGCCTGAGTCTTGCTTTCTAAGGCAAGTTCCACTTTCTCTGACAGGTATTATCAGGACTCTGGGGTTCTCTTACTGTACTTGGACTCTTTGAAGGTCTTTGGTATGTCCGCTGTCTGTCGAGTTTGCCCAGGTGCCTCCCCCCCAGAAAGTCAACTGCTAAAAATGAGATCCTGGCAGTGTTTACAGCCTTGTAGAGGCCCAGTTCTGTCAGTGAGTCACGTGTGGGTATGGACAAGATACTCTTCTCTGGGCAGAAGGGTGAATGCAAGGCCCTCTAGGTGGGAGGGGTAAGGCCACCTTGGATTTGCTCTTCACCCGAGGTTGGCTTCAGTGAGCCCTTCAAATGCTCAGCCTTGCTGGGTCAGGGGCTCACAGAACATTGAGGTTCTGCACAAATACTGTCAGAGTATGGGAGGAGTTTGAGGAGATCCTGGCTTGTATGTACTGCTTGCATCTATCTCTTAATGGCCTTTGTCTCAATGTGGTGAGCGCCCATGAAAGCTTTGTAAACAAGTTTTGCCCATGGGTAAGGAGAGAGCCACAGTGAGTACGTGTGTGTGTGTGTGTGTGTGTGTGTGTGTGTGTGTGTAAGACACAAACTCTGCAGAGAAATGCAAACTGTAGTGTTCTGTCTGCCTGGGTGCTAGCAGAGCTCTGGTAACAAAGTAGCTGTTGGATAGCCCTATGGAGTCAGAGGAACCAAAATTGCTCCATTTTATCCGGTGTGGGTTCATGAAAAGAAGACACATAGGCACTCTAAGGATGATTTAGCCTTTTCCAGCTGCAGGGGGGGCAGGGAGGGCCGGATCAGCCTCTGGAGGACTGACTCACTGCTGTTTAGCAAAAAGGCAAAAAGCCTTTTTATTATTATACAATTCACACCAAAAGCAAGTCAATTTTCATCCACCAACACCTCTTATCTAAGCTCCCCAAAGAGACAACGCCAATGCAGATTTTCAGTTAGGAGACATCTCGGTTTGCTGAGTCCTCCCCCAACCACTTTCTGCATTTGCACCCTTAGGAGCTTCCCAGACAAGATTGACATATTTCAAACAGAAGGTACTGGAGTCAAAATAGCAGTCACAAAAGATGATTAAGCTAGATGCTAACCCTGGCAGAATCAAATCAGCTGCAGCTCTGCAGGGGCTCTCCTTACAACTCCCAAAGTGGGAGCCTGGGACATCTTGGCATTAAAGGCCTCTTGGCTTGAGGGTATCTCTGTGGGAAGGCAATAACTGTTACTGCAAACCACTAAGTACCTAGAGCTGGGTATACCAGTGACTGGAGAGGGCTGGACTCTACCTGGAATGGATAGAACTAAACAATGTTTACTACAAGATGAGAAGGTTTGGGTGCCGGAAGCCAAGACCTGTATTTTGAGATCTGCATTTTGCAGGATAGATGGCACCCAACTTAGGGCCTGAGGAACATCACTGCACAAGGAGGACAGGCCTGTCCACGCACTTGGACCACCACGACCAGTGGGCAAAGCACTGGTCCAGCAAGAATCGCCATGGTAACCCGACCATGAGACAGATTCGAGGGAATTCATCAGTGATGCAAGGTAAAAAATTTTTGCCATGGTGCAAGCATTTTGTAAACAGGATATATTTACTTGCGGACTCAAAGAGTCCCTCAAGAAGCGAGAAGTAAGGGTACGGATCCACACAGCTATGCCTGCCAAGCAGGCTGGCTGCCAGGCCTAGAGAGCCTATGTCTTAACCCCCTGCCATATGGAGCAGAAGCTGCCAGGCAGGTTTGCAAAAAGGGAACTAGCCTCAGAAAACTACAGCTTCAGGACAGTAAAAGGAAGTTAAATATGCTTCTTTTCCATTTTTATTTTATTTTTTTATTTTTTATTTTTTGGTTTTTCGAGACAGGGTTTCTCTGTGGCTTTGGAGCCTGTCCTGGAACTAGCTCTGTAGACCAGGCTGGTATCGAACTTACAGAGATCCGCCTGCCTCTGCCTCCCGAGTACTGGGATTAAAGGCGTGCGCCACCTGCTTCTTGGTCAAAAATCTTTAGTTTGGGGCTGGAGAGATGGCTCAGAGGTTAAGAGCACTGATTGTTCTTCCAGAGGTCCTGAGTTCAATTCCCAGCATCCACATGGTGGCTCACAACCATCTGTAATGAAATCTGGTACCCTCTTCTGGCCTGCAGGCATACTTGCAGACAGAACACTGTATACAAAATAAATAAACAAAAAAAAATCTTTAGTTTGTAGGCATATAAATTTATATCCAAGGTAGATTAATTTCAGTACTGTGGTTCTGTAGGAAAATTTTAAAATCAAAGATTGTGATACATTCAAAGTTTCCTTGATTGCATAGGATTTTTAAATTGTTTAGTCTATCCTGAGTTTTTATATTTTCTTATAAAGTTGAAGATTGTTCTTTCGAGTTCTGTAAAAAAAATTGCTATAATTTTAATAAACATTTACATTAAATCTGTAGGCAAGTTCTGTAAGAAATGTTGCTATAACTTAATGGACATTTACACTGAATCTGTAGATTGCTTTCAGTGAGATTGTCATTTTTGCTGTGTTTCTTCTACTTTCCCAAGAAAATAGGAGATCTTTCCATTTTCTTTTTTTTTCCATTTTCTAATGTCTTAAATTTCTTAAAAGATCTAAAGTTCTTATCATACAATTTTTTCGATTTGTACCATCTGCTCTTGGCTGGGAGTCGAGTTGTCTCAGGTTGTGGTCCTTTCCTGCTGCCAGGTGTTGCTTCAGGGTCGACTGCTGAGACTCAGGCCTCTTACTAAATTTATCAAGTAATAATGGTTAAAAATGAAAAACATTTCCCCCTTCACAAGCAGAGATGACCGGACCCAACCTTCTGTCCTGCTTGCTTAGAGTTACTCCAAGATATTTTGTGGTATTTATGGCTATTTAAAAGGATGATGTCTCATTTATCCTAGAGGTACATTTTGGGTTGTTTTCAGGTTCTGGCTATGATAAAGTAATTCTGCTGTAAACATAGCTGAGCACATGTCCTTATGGTACGGTTGAACAACTTTTGTATTAGGCCCAAAAGGGGTATTGTTGAGTTTTAAGGTAAAAGGTTGCCTAATTTTTAAAAATAGCCATACTATGAATTATCCAAAACGGCTATGCCAGTTTGCACTTCCAGCAATGGAGTTTTTTCTTTACCCACATTTTCTTAAGCATATGTTGTGAGCAGTAATTTTTAATCTTGGTCATTTTTACAAGGATAAGATGAAATCTCAGAGTTTTGATTTGCATTTCTCTGATGGCTAAAGGATGTTATGTTTAAGCATTTTTTCAGTGTCTCTCAGTCATTTTTAAGTTCGTCTGTAGATAGTTTTCAGTTTAGGTCTGTAACATATTTTTATTGGATTAATTTTTTGATGACTAATTTTCTGAGTTCTTCATATGTTTTTGGAGTGGGTTTGTGATAAGTAAAGATCGTTTTCCATTCTATAAGCTGATATTATGTTTATTATACAAAAGTTTCTCCATTCAGGAGATCTAATTTATTGTTTCTCTCAAGGTTTGTGCCACTGAGGCTATGTTTAAGATGTGGCAAAGTGTACTTCTAATTTTTTCTCTGTGAGGTTCAATGTAATTTTTATATGCTGAGGCCTTTGACTCATTTAAACTTGAGTTTTGTGCGTAGAGATGGATGTGGATCTATTTTCATTCTTCTACATGTTGATGTCTAATGAGGCCAGCATCATTAGTTAAAATGCTTCCTTTTTCCATTTTCCTATCAGCTAGGCAGACTTGCAACTTAAGAAGAGAATAGCTTACAAACTTTTAATTAGATTACAATGGTTAAAGCCCTAGTTATAATATTCTTATGGGAGATATTGAGCCAATAGGTAAAATTCTTACAGAAAACAAGGAGCCAATTTCCAATAGAGAGCTAAAAGAAGCTGCCAAACAGGTACTCAAGCAGGTAAATTATAGATCAACAGGTAAAGTATACAATAATGTACAAGTACAATATATTAATAATGATTCAGCTATGGCGAGTGCGTGTATTAAGTACAAACTTATTCCACAACAGTTTTATGAAAAAGCAAAATGCTTTTTATGGCTACACCTTCCCAGTTTTGTCAGTTAAGATATTAAAGTCTTAATTTAGAGCAGTAGCCTGTCTGGTACAAAAGAGCAGGATGAAATCTGGGAGATGGTTTAACAGAATATTGACTATGATCAATGTTCCTTATACTAAACAATAGATTCATTGATAATATTAAGATTGATTCCTGGATAATTGTGTTTGCTTAATTCAAAGGCCAGAATAATAATCTTTTCCCAGATGATCATTGCTACAATTCACACAACTGTATTCTGCTAATGCTACAGCTAAAAAATCCCTTAAAGTATTTTATACTAAATTTTACAATAGCTCTTCCAATGGAAAAAACTGCATATATGGTTAATAATAAAAAGAAATTGTGGAGCATACCATGGCTCCTTGAAAACAACTTATAAAAGTTATAGACAGATCCTGATGCAAACAGATCTGGACATGAAGACACCAAGCTGGCCTTTACTAAGGCAAGGTAAAAAAAAAAAAAAAAAAGCCCTTGCAATGCATTATGAAAAGACCCGACCTATATATATTTGAGGTCGAAGATATGTTTGTGTTTTTTTCACAGAAAGAAAATAAAGCTGGGCCTGATGATGTTGTAGCACCCCATAAAGGAATTCGAGAAATGATTGGATAGGAATCCTTGATCCAGTCTTCCCTGCCCCCACGGAGAAAAATGCCTGATAGCAGTACCTGCTAAACCACTCAACACAGCCTGCCTCCAGGAGTCCTCACAAAGAGACCCCGCTGAGATAATCACCAAGACGTGCTTCAGGTAGCTGAATCCCAGGAATCTCACTTGCCCCGAAGCACAAGTGCTGAGCTGCTTCCAGACCTGGGATGCAGACACAGATGCCCTGCTGGGACCATGGCGACTACAATTTTCTGCAGTTTGAATCCTGTTTGCTTTGGAGCTAATATGCAGACTAAACATCTGACTTTTTTTTAATCTTTGGGACACAGAACTCATTTTGTTTAAAATATTAACCCCTCTTCACTTAAGAAGGGGGCAGACTTGGGGTTTGACTGTTGCTCAGAGACTGGAATTGGTGTTTAATAACAACAATGTCATTGTACTCTTACTGGAATTGACCTAATGATATTTGTAACTTTTTATAGATGTTGAGAAAAGTTTGACACACCCTGTAAAATCTTTGGGTTTAATGCATATGTAAAGAATTTTATATTTTTGATCCCTTTGCACTGCCCTAAAAGAGAAATGTTGTTTCTATACCGATCATACTGGGATAGTTAGAGACAGTTTTGCTAAGGTCACAAAAGGATTAGAGCATAGGAAAAAAAGTAGAGAGAGCAAGAGGAGGGATGGTTTCCCCTGGGTCACCACCCTTTTATGTTCCCTTTTGGGGCCCCCTTTTAGAATTTTTATTATTGATAACTTTTGAACCATAGGCCCTTAATAGGCTCACTAGTTTATTTGCTAACAGGTGGCATCCAAGCCCATTTAGGTCCATTATCACCGGCTTGATCTGGCTGATCGAGGGCTAGAAGAGCCCCTTGAGAGCGAGTCTCCTATAGGAACCACATAAAACCCAGAGATATGTGTGCCTGTCCACAATAGGCATGGGCACCAACAAAAGGGGTGCAAGGCAAAGCACTGCAGGGAGAAGACCATGCTTTCTGTCTCTGGGTCTCCTGAGGAACATGCCTGATTGCACAGGGTTGATGTCCAGAGGTATTGACATAAAAACCTAGACCCTCTCCTCCCCAAAAAAGACTCTGAAAAGAAAATTCTTCCACCAAGTTGGAAAGAATTTTCCCCCACCAATTAGACAAGGGAGGATCGGGCCTCTGTTCCGCCCTCCCCCCCCCACGACCAGATGACCTTTAACTCGCCTCATTCTAATACTTAAAAAGGGCAAACGTGCCGGAAGCAAAGACCTGTGTTTTGAGATCTGCATTTTGTTTAGAGCCATCTTAAACTCACAAATTAAGAAAAGTATTTACCTCTATCCCCTCTGCAGGGTCTAGGAAATCAACCTGGCATCTTTTCTCCTAGCAGAGACCTGCAAGCACCAGGCTCCGGAGTCAGTTAGCATTTTCCTTTGTTAATCAACAATCACAGGCCTTCAGTATTTACTTATCAGCTGGGGATGTCTCCGGACCTGAATTCCAGCAGACCAGAGTTTCCTGACACCCTTCCCTTCCCCCCCTTTGCTCGTTTGCTATAGAACAGCCTCTGAGGAAATAATAAACTGAACGGCTTGATCCTGTTTTGCCGTCATTTCTCGTGTGTCTTGTCCCTTTCATTCCTCTCCACTAGGTTTATCAGGGACCCCCGTTGGTATCCCGCTGGTTGGGATGGTTGGGCCTTTGCCCAAGCCAGTCACTCAGCAATCCGGGGGTGGGGGGAGAGGAATGGGGAGGATGGAGTTTCCTTCTTCAGCAGGGTGTACTTCCACCCAGACAGCCCCCAGGGTGGAGTCACACCGTTTGATATTCCCTCTTAGGGCAGAAAGGACAGTGAGAGAGCTTCAGTTCCAATGTCTGGTTTTTGTTGTTGATTTTGAGATGGTTATCTCACTGGATAGTCCAGGCTTGCCTGGAATTTGAGATTCTCTTTCCTTGGTCGCATAAGTGCTGGGATTACAGAATATGCCATTATGCCTGGCTACCCACTGTGTATGTATGGAGAACTCCTTCCTGATAAGTTTTATCCTCCACCTCTGCTGGCAACTGTTGCTCTTCCAGAAAGAGGCCTTTCCAGGTGAGCATGGAGCGGTGACTTTGGCCAGACACTCCTGTCCTTTTCATTGGCAAGTAGGACTAACTTCTCTGTAGAAGGCAGTGAGTTTGGGGCTGCTGCACTAATCAGGAACTGGCCTTTGGGAGACAAGGGTAGGAGTGGACTGTTTCCTGTAATATTAAGTTGGGGGCCTCATCCCAACCCTGGGCATCTATCTATCTTTGGAAGTCCCCTCCCCTAAGAGTTGCCTTGGTCTGAACTCCACCTCTGGGAAAGCCCTCCAAGCACTGACCCCTCCCCAGGAAGGGTCAGGATCACTTCCACAGGCTCTTTAGGCTGCTGCCCAGAAAAGAAACACGTGGTCTCCAGGTTCCCTGTGGTCTCACTGGCTCTCTCCCCCTTGCCATGCTGTCCTGGCCACACGGGAGCGCTGCGCTAAACGTGGGCATCTTTTATTCAGTCTAATTTGGTCTGATTGGAATTATTTGCATCAGCAGAGAGGCTTGTCTTAAGAATATTCCTAACAGTTCCCTCCACCTGATTAGACCTGTTTGCTGTAGGGCCCAGCCATGACAAGCTCAATAGAGGCCCAAGAGTCTCAGGAGTTTACTCTAAGGCAATACCTGGTTCCAAGAAAGACCACAAACTGAGACCACCAGGCCCCACCCAGGAACAGAGCATGCAAAGGAAATTTATAAGGTTCTGACCGTTGTAGACAGGATCACCTGACAGCATACACCCATGGCTTTTCACCAGGACAACCCTAGACAAATGTCAGCCAATCGGGTCCTAAACCTTAGAAATCCCTCACCTCAACCTCTGCTATGATAAAAATCCCCATCCCAACTGAGCTGAGACTCTCTGATTGTGCCAATGTGTTGGATACACGGAAAGTTCGAATTCGGACTTAAACAAGAATAAAGGCTCTTTGCTTTTACATACAGGACCTGGTCTCCTAGTTGGTTTTTGGAGGACTCCATGATCTGGGCATAACAGTTGTCTACCAGCAATCTCTACTTAACTTCCTTCTCTTGACCGTGGTGGAATGCCCTGCAGTTAGCAGACATTTCGGAACCCTACCGTAAGGCGGGGCATGTAGGGGAATTTATAAACGTGCAACATGAAGTGAAAGTCCTGGACAGGTTTGTATGGTCTGACGCCTTCCAGCCCAGCTACTAATTGCATGGCTGTAACCGGCCTTGTTCCTGCCACCCCCTCAGTAAAATGAGCTAGCTCCAGGTTGGGGAGATGTCTTCAACGCACCATAAACGGCTGTGCAGTGTGAATTCTAATCGCCCCTAGCCTTGTTAAAATAAAATCGCAGTCAGCCATCTGGGGAAAGGCCTGGGAATCTCTGGTTTCTTTTTGCAGTGTTAATGATTGGGCCCAAAGCTTTATATGCCGGCTTAGGTGAGGGCTCCTTCATTGAGCCCAACCTGGCTCTTTATGCCTTTCCTTTTTTTATATGAGATAGGTTCTCATACAGCCCAGGCTAGCCTTGGACTGAAACTTGGTATGTAAAAAGACTGGCCTCGATCTTCAGATCCTCCTGTCTCTACCATCCAAATGCTGAGGCGACACACATGTGGCCTGCCCTTTATTTTTTTTTAACAAGTTCATAGATAATGCTGCTAGCCCACAGAGCTCTTTAGCAGCAAAGAAGACAACCTCTTTTATTTGCGCTGAAGGACCCAGAGGTGGGGGGGCCACATGAGCCCCTCTGCAAACCACCCTTGACAGAGCTTCAGAAAGTTATCTTGGGATTAGTTTCAGTCTCTGGCTGACAGTGCTCAGGTTTGGGGGACAGGAGAACTCCAGTACCAGCCACACTTCTGTTCGTCTAGAAAAGTCCTTTCTTGATCACTGCTTGACTTAGCTAAAGGTTGTTTCACATCTGAAATGGAAATCAACCCATTCATTATCTTGGTGGCCACAGGAGGCCCTCTGAGGAGGTGACGCCCTTCATGAGGACAGCAGCCATCAGTTAAAGACTATGATTCACTACACCGAGGATGGAAACAGCCTCAGTTCCTGTGGCTGCCTGCTGTTTCTTCAATGGAAATGCCCAGAAGTCTGTGAGGAGAGAAGGGAGCAGACAGAGCCAGCCAGCTCCCCCTCCTTTCTGGGCTTCTCCTGACTGGCTTGGGGCACACATTGTGGTTTGTTAGTTATTGGAATGTCTGGGGCTCTTCAGGAAGGGCTAAGTGGACTCCTATTCGCATCTACCACAGCAATTGTGGCTCGTTGTGCCAAGACCTGAGTCATCTTCGGCGTAACTTCAAAGTACATAGGAACTGCTAGCGCTTACTGTGAGGGGCCCCAGGACAAGATGGACGTCAGGCCAGTTTTACTTACTCGCCAGAACTCCTCCCATGTTGTGGACAGGAAAGGGACCCAATCAGAGACTCTGAAGGTCTGCCTTGGGACCATCACTCCTTTAAGATCTGTAACTTCTGGGAAGTGAGGAAGATGCCAGCCGCTCTAGCAGTTTTTATTGGTCAGAGGGAGGTTATGTAGGAGTTACAGGGAGCACTTCTCTGGCTTCTTATTGGAAGATGAGTGTTCTAACTCAGTGAGCTGCACAATTGCCATAGCAACCACACTTAAAGGGCCAGTTTAGAGGGCTCCCTTCTTTACACTTTAAGAGACTCTAAAGCAATAGGCAGTGTTTCCAAGCTGGGGACCTAGAGATCTGGGCCCCCGTGGCAAGCCCTCCCTATATCCATGGGTTCTCTTTTCAGTGATGTTGGCATAGGTCCTTTAATGGGCAGGATGTCCTGACTCCCTTAGCTCCTAGGCATTTGAGAGGGCCACAGGCAAAGGGTCCATGCTTCCAAAGCTTGTGAGCATCCTTCGTGGATTGTATATTATGTTGACAGATACTGATCTCTGTGCTGTGTGTCCAAATATTACAAGAAACCCATGTTCAAATATATAGCCATGTGTGTTTGTGTACAAAAGAGAGGGTTAAGTTTTCAACATCTTAAACATGGGGCACAGGTCCTTTCCTATTTATAGCCACAGCTTAGAAGAAACAAATCCTTAAGGATGGGAGAGGATGGATGGTGTGGTGTAATTCCCCTCCCCCCCCTTAGTCTTACAAAACATTGAACTTAGGCCCTTATTCTAGTCAAAGTTTTGGTTGTGTTTTTTTTTTCTTTGTTTATCTTTAAGATTTTTTTTTTTAATATTTATTTATTTATTATGTATACAATATTCCGTGTGCATGCCCGAAGACCAGAAGAGGGCGCCAGACCTCTTTACAGATGGCTGTGAGCCACCATGTGGTTGCTGGGAATTGAACTCAGGACCTTTGGAAGAGCAGGCAACACTCTTAACCACTGAGCCATCTCTCCAGCCCAAGATTTAACATTTTTTAAGTGTATGAGTATTTTGCCTGCATGTATGTTTATATGCCACGTGTGTGCCTGGTGCCCAAAGAAGAAAAAAAAGAGTAATGGATCCCCCCCACCCCCCCGAACTGGAGTT